GGCGACGACTTCGACAACGACGCTTCCGCCCCGCCGCCGGTCAGCGGTTCGTGGTCCTTCGTCGTCGGCGTCGACTTCTTGACACGCACGGGCTTGGGCGACCCCTGCGCGCCGTCGGGCCGGGTCCGCGGCTCGCGTGCGCTGCAGGGCTTTGGGGGCTCGTCGCCGCCGGTGGTGGATGCGTCGGCGCCACCGCGAGAGGTCGACGAACTGGCTGTTGCGCGGAAGGGGAGGTCGAGGAAGAGCATGCGGTCGCGCTCCTTCCGTCGGTGGGTCGTGACCATCGACTTGCGCCCGAGCGTCGTGGACTTGCCCTTGTCCCCGTTCTTGGTGCGCGGCTGGGCTCCGTTGTTGTCTGACGACTCCTCGACGCGCGGCATTTCGACCGAGTGGCTGAGGCCGCCCGGCCTGTTGTTGGCGCGCAGCTGCTGGACCTGGTCCTGGTGCTCGAACCGCTGGAAGATGACTTCGTCGATTTCGGACGAGAGGCTTCGCAGCCGGCCGCCGATGTTCAGCCAGTCCCTGTCCTTGGGCTTCTTCTCTTCCGCCTGCTGGACCCGGTCTCGCTCCTTGGCCCGCCGGCCGACCTCCTTACGCTCCTCCTTCTTCTCCCTCTCGCGCTGCTCCTTCTTCTTCTTGCCCTCCTTCAGGCGCGCGACCTTCTTCTTGAGCTTCTCCCTCTCCTTTTTCAAAGCCTCGATCTCTGTGCGCAAGAATGCGTGGGCGTGAGCGTCCATGGGTCATTTGGTGTGTGTGTGGTGTGGTGTGCGCGCGCCGTACCATCACGCGCTTCGTTGAGCTGGTGCGTGGTGGTGTCCAGCACCCGCTTCAGCTCAGTTCGTATGCCGACCTCCAGATGGTACCTCTTCTCCCACACCAGCGCGTTGACAGCGTCGGGCGAGATTGCCTTGGCATCTCCAGAGCCCTCTACAGAGGAGGAGGAGGAGAAGTGTAAGCCCAGCTTGATCACACAGACACGAGGGAGGACGCGTACCCGAGCCCTGGAATTCCACCTTGAGGACCTTCATCTTGGCGATCCAGTCCTCCTTCTCCGTCACACTGCTAAAGAGCACCCGGTATTCGATCCACTCCTTTTCCTTCTCCACCAGCCTGAGCCCGCACTCTTTGAAGTTGCCGGTCAGATTCATATGCACACACACACACACACACACCGCCGCACACGCTCACACGAAGGTACCTTCGTCGATGGTCTCTGTCTCTTCGCGCAAGTTGCGCACCGAACGGCCCCGAGGCGACGAATGGGCGGGGCTGACGGTCCGAGGAGAAGTGAGGACGTTGTCGGTGTTGTTGCGCGAGAAGGCGCGCAGACGGTTGACGGGCGGCGTCGACCCCTGGCTGGGCGAGCTCGCGGGGAGCGTCGGCGGCGGGCACTCGAGCGGTGAGCAGGAGAGCATGTGGCCCTCCCAGATGTTGAGCACCTTGTAGCCCTTGCGCTTGCCCTTGGCCTTGACCCGGAACAGCGCGATCTTATCGTTGAACAGCACCAGGTGGAAGTCCTGGTTCTTGGACTTGCGCCTGCCGCCCAGGAGGCGCACCGACCCCTCCTTGACAATGTGGCGGCCCCACTCACAAAATTTGTACACCTGGTGCAGAGCAACCAACAGCGAGGGCCATGTGAGACACCAGTTTTGTTAGGTGTGGGTCCATGCGGGTGGGTGTGGGGGCCACGAACCTCTGGACCGTGGACGAGTTCGACGGCGGACTGGAGGTCCATCACCTTGTGCACGTCCTCCTCCTGTTGCGCGCGCTTGTTGACCTGATCGACCACGTTTTTGATCTCCTCGTAGGCCTTGGCCAGCGGTGCGTACTCCGGGTTCTCCTTGTCAACGTACTTCAACAGCGACTAGAGGCGACCCACCA